AGATTGGTGCATTATCAAACCTGGAACAATTGTATCTAAATTATAATAATATTAAAAATGTTCCATTGCAGCTCTTTCTTTGTAAAAAATTACACTCTTTGGATCTTAGCTATAATAAGCTAACCTCCATCCCTGAAGAAATTGGTTATCTGACCAATCTGCAGTACTTGGCATTGACAAAAAACCATGTAAGTAGAACTTTGAATTACTACTTCAATCAGGTACTGACTTAACCTACCATATTTTTTCTGGAGCAGCCTCTGCTTCAAAATGCTTTTGCAATGTTCATGATTAAAGTAAACCCAGTAAAGCTGGAAAAAGGGGTGGTGCTTGTTCAATCAATATAACTTTGGTGTCATCAAAGCTTGTATAATACTAAATACTACCCTGGTCTGTCGCAGCTTAAGGGCTCTGATCCAGAGATAGATTTCTGTAGTCATCCTAACCTGCACTATCTTTCCCTGCGGCTGTCTATCGTATGTAGTATTTTAATGGAAGTGAACAGTGTTCAATTGTTACTATCAAATGTCAAGCTGAAAGCTGTAGTGCATCAACAGCTAGCTGCCTGGGAAGAGGGAAATCCTTATAGCTGTAACCTCATTAGCAGTCCTGAGCAGTCTGGCTCATTAGTATTGGGTCCAGGCTTGTGACTGAGGGCTTCTTTTGAGGTTTGTAATTGGTTTTTCACTGGTGAGGTTGGTTTTGGATGGACTGGAGTTACTACTGTATTGTGCAGATTGTGCAGGTGGTACAGGTTTCACAACACAGGAGCTCCTAATGTCTTTTCACAATCTGTATTTTTTCTTCATTAACTGATTCTTAGGAGATAGTAGTCTATTTCTCCCCTGCCACCTGTGCATGCACGTGTTTTGTATGCACTTCTGCATATGCACTCATGTATATGCTTCCCCTGCCATGCTTATGTCTTCTGCCAAGAGCTTAGCATCTTAATGAAACAGGTATATAAAACCATCCTAGTGTTCTCAAGCAATTTATCCCATAATGGTAGAAACATTACAACCTTCCCATTCCTTATCCTTCCATAAACTAAGAGGGCTGGGGTTCTTTTACCCTAAAATATAACTGGGAAATGTTAAAACATGCAGCTGCATGTACGCTAGCAACTTCTAATGCGTATTTTTGTTGTTGTTTTCTTTTTCTAGATTGAAATGCTGCCCGATGGATTATTTCAGTGCAAAAAGCTGCAGTTTCTTCTCCTGGGAAATAACAGTCTGATGAATTTGTCCCCTTGTGTGGGTCAGCTACTGAATCTTGTTCAATTAGAGCTCATTGGAAACTATCTTGAATCACTTCCTGCTGAACTGGAAGAATGTCAGTTCTTAAAGAGGAATAGTCTCATTGTAGAAGAGCGGTTGTTAAAAACACTTCCACCCCGTGTAAGAGAGCGTTTGCAGGCAACTTCAGATAAGTGCTGAGTTTAAACTGGAACTCTGCATCATTGCAGTCTGTAAGCCTGTGTATCTAAAGGGCTCCATAGGTGAAGTGAGAGAGAACAGTTTACAAATCAGTCTTAAACTTAAATTCATTGAACTGAGTTGATTGTATTGGAAAAGAGAAGTTTACTTAGATTCAGAAAAAAAATGCAGCCTTTAAAAGGTAATCATATGTTTGAAAAATCTGAAATATGAATTGTTGGTTGGCTTCTACTGGTTGAAATAACTAAATGTTTATGATGATATTGAAATGGAGGAGTTGATTGCCTGGCTATAGTGAGGGTGTATATACTTTTTTCCTATGGGAATTCTTTTCTGTTGATAGTGATAATTTTAAATAGCTTCATCTTCTGCCACGTGAGGTCTAAGAACTGTCTGGAACTAGTTTCTGAATGTGAACTCTTCGCTAACTTAGAATATGTTAAATTAAGAATTTAAACTATTTGAGCAGTTCAATTGCATGGGTCATATTGAAAGTAACTTTTCAACATACCTTAATTTTAAAAGCTTTTGACAAGTACTGAGCATAAATTCTATAATATGGAAGTTGCCGTTTGAATCGTGCTATTAAAACCAGTTGGACAAAAACATCTGAACACAGTTTCAGTATTTTGTCTTAAAAGTAGTAAATACAAATTGAATTTTTGCCTAGAAATTGGGAAGAATCAGAAGAATCTGCAACAACTGTTGTGCATATGTATGAGACAGCAAATCTTATGGTACTGATCTTCATAGGTAATGATGGCAAATACAACACAATCTAGTTGCAGGGTTGTCTTCTGTATGTTGTGAGCATCGCAGGTGTTAGTGTAGTGTATGTGCTGTTTAACATGTTTTATAACTTCTCATTACTGACTGCCTCAGTCCTCCATACCCAGTTACTGTGTTCTGGTGTCTGGGGAGAGGATGAATAAAGTTGATGTTAGTGACAGACACAGTTAAGCTAGACAGTCATGCAGCTTACACTTGGGAGGGGAAACCAGGAAGCATTATAAACTTCGCCTCTTCTAGGGATATAGTTCCATAGATCATAGTGATGGAATGAGCTCTTACGCCATCCTTAATACTTGCAAAACTGGATGGAAATAAAATGGTTCCTGACTTCATTCTTCTGCTGTGCGCTCTTTTATTGTATTGAAGTCTTAACTCTCATGATATTTAAACATGTTCACAAAAAATATAGGTGATACTCCTGGGCAAAAAAAGGAAGCATGATTTCCAAAAATGTATTTGACATTTTATAAATTTTCAAAACCTATCTCAATAATGGGTTAAATAGATAAGGTAAACTGTGTTCTTAATGCCTGTGTTCATCAAATACGCATTCCAGTTTGTAATATCAAATCATCACAGATAAACCAGTTTTAGTACTAAGATTACTTTTAGTCATCTCTTGCTCCCATCCCAGTGTCCCTCTTGTGAAGAGTAATGTTTACTTGGAATGAAAATGCCAAAACCAAGTCTGGTCAACATGGAAGTTAGAGATGTCTCTGCAGTAGCAGTGCAGGAGATGTATGTTTGTTTACTGTACTGATGGCATTCCAAAGACCTTTGCAGTTAGAGCACTTTTCTTCTCAGGGAACCAAAATGTGGTAAACCTACTACTTTTTATGTAGTTCTAGAAATGTTTTGTGTAAGCTGGTAAGTTGTGTTTATGTGCAGACTTGTGTTGCTGGAACAGTCTTCTATAGCATCCATATGTAGCTCTTCCAAACTTTTTCAGCTAATCTTGAGTTGTTTAATAGTTCCATAGGAATTGATATGGTTCACAAACAGAGCTAGTTGTCATAGATGTGATGAAACCAGAGTGCATTGGTGTGCACCCCTGTGTCTAGAGTGGTGTTAATAATTGTAGCAGGCATGTCAGGACTTTGTAACTTAACACTGAAGAGCAGCACTTTGTGCCAGAACTTGACACACAAGACTTGACAGACCAGTGGCTTTTAAAAAATTAAGCAAGCATTGGCTTTAAAGCTTTTTTCTAAATTGGGAATCAACAAGAAGCAAGCAACTGGCTTGGTCAGAAGCTTTCACTTCTTAGCAGCGCACCAGTCCTTTTCCATAACCAATAAAACTGATGTAGATGAACAGTGATCTTAAATGCGCAGTTTGGGCTAGTTCTGCCAGTGAAATAACAGAAATAACTGGGAGAGAGGTACTTCATTTCTAAATTGTGCAACCTCAAAGGAGTTGAGGAAACACTAAGAAATACATAAGAATGTAAATACCGTTTTATACGTTAAATGGATTACACTTTTTTTCAGCTTTAATATTTTTTTCACTCCGTACCCCCTCAAGGGCTGTTTTGTTTTTTTTCTTTTTCCCTGCATGTTTGAGTGTTCATAAAACACCCAGACAAACCCCAGAAAGTGTAAAGACTAGAGTCTCTAGCCTTGCTTTCAAACCACAGTGTGCCTTTATAATCAGTTTTGTACCATGAAGCCCAATCCTAGTGCTTAGAATTGAGGGTAGAGACAAATATAACAGAATTTGTTGAATTCACTTCAGCCATAACCTTAATATTCAATATTTCTTTGAAATGAGGGGGATCTCAGAATCAACACATGAATTCACTGTCATAAGCTTTGTATGATAAGTATTGTTGGCATCTAGTCTTTGTTATTAAACAATTGCTTCCAATCAACAAAAGGCTTTGCAACTTGTGTGTGTTGTGTGTAAAAACTTTGTATTGTGACCTTCCGTATCATGACCATTTCTTTTGAATAATTAAATTTTTTTTGGCATTAAAATTCTATGAACTGTTCTTTATTTTCCATAGGAGATGTTGCATTTAATGCAAAAGTCGGAAGTCTGCTTCTGGCTGTCTGCACTGATGTGCTAGGCTGCTAGCTCTAGTTGGGAACCTGGGTTTAGCTCTGTGTTTTAAAGATAAAGGAAAAACCCCAAAGTGAAGTGATGTTATGTATTCAAGTGCTAGCTTCTTATCTTTCAAAATAAGAACTTTCCTAGTGAGTTTTAACAGAACTGTGTCCCTTTCTTCTTTTAGATGAAATGAAATAATTAAAAAAATGACTTGTGGTTTACCTGTTCTGAGATGGGATTGTTAGTAAAATAAGGCAGGTGATTCTTCTTAAAGCTCTTACATGGATCTGCAGGAGCATGGAACATGGATTTTGTTTTCATGACAGCTTATTGTAGTTCTAATGATTTATTCTTGTAACCAGTAGATTTACATCATACTAACAAACTTCCTGGGCATGTAGACTTCCCATCTTCAAGAATGTGACCTGAAGTTCATTCTGTAATTGCTTCTAATAAGTGACTCTTTCCCCTTTTCCCTTTCCACACCAGTAAATGCTGGGATTATAGAGAACAATATAGGAACAACTGAAGAATTCTACTAGCAAATACATGGCTTCAAATGCTGAAAGCAGGAGGCAGTACATGACCTACTATGGATTGTTTATATCAAGGATTTTAAGGAACTTTGGGTATTTCTAGAGATCAGGAATTAATCAAGCTCTTGTGCTTTATTTGGCCTTGCTGGGTGTGTGAGTCCTTACTGTGCTTGCACATTTGAATGTGTTTACCAGAGAGAATCCAGAGACTGTGTGTTTTACTGGCTGTCATGATGGAGCTGACAGCTAATGTAGGCTGTGGCAACAGAGGAGGAATTGTAGTGAGCTGATAGGAAGAAGCAAGCAGTGATACTGAAGTCCTATATACTTGTAGGATACAGCCAGGTCTTGGGAACTCCTGTGTCTGGAGAAGCTGCTCTGCTGGCATTACATGAAGAGTTTATTGCAGTCCTCCATTGCTAGGACACATAGGTGATGGAGGGGAAATTAGCAACCCACTCCAGGGCTGGACTGGCATTTGAAAGGGTTTAAGCATTAACTCATTCTAGTGTGTTTAGTAAATGAACTATTACATCTTAGTGTTGTTGCTTCCTTCTTTTCCCTCATTTACATGAATATCTGTTCTGTCTTTATCTAACCTCTAGTGACTTAAAATCTAGTTTTATAACTTTGTGCAAGTGTCCTCTCTGCTAGGCAAGACCTGGATAAAAGATTTCCGGGCAGTATGGATACGCAAGCCATATGAATTTAACACTTGGTGAGGTGGAGAAGAGAGGATGAAAAGTGGTCAACCTGCAGATAGAGGTATAAAGAATAATTGCTCAAAGTAACAGGGAGATGTCTAAGGGATCATTATTACTACTTAGCCCAGCAAAGCTATTGGTAAGTATTGCTTGCTAGTATGGTGCTTAACACAGTGAGGTATTAATCTATAGTGCTTGTGGACATGCTGTTAAACAGGCACTTTTATTATGTGCTATTGCTTTTTACCTCTTATAAGAATGTTATGTATAAATCTACTGGTACAATTTATAAAACTTATAAAAGTTTGAATAAAACTTTTCCCTCCATACTTCCATACGGATGTATTGCAGAACCAATATGTCAAAAAATGTTGCAAAGCAACTAATGTAATAAGTATTTGAAAAGTGTGCAAGGATGGAAACTGTAATAGGAGGTACATAGAAATGCCAGTCACTGCATTCACACTGGCCTTGCAATTTGAAAATCTCGTAAGTCATGATTAAGGTTTATTATATGGATGAAAAAGGGAAAAGGAGGAACATAGCTTGCTGATTTTCATTGAAAACATAGCTAACCTGCAAGGAAATAGTGAGTTAACTGATGATTTTGAATCGGTCTTGCTCAGAGGCAAATCTGAATAAAGCTGTGCATGAAAAGCTGGTGGTTTTGTTTGTGTTTTTTTTTATATTGGTCAAGTTTCTTATCATAGCTAAAGGTGCTTAACCATTCTGCAGCAGTACAGGGGAGAGGTCCCAGGCAAAAGCCTGGCAAAACACTACTTGATTGTACTTATTTTCTGCTGGCATTACAAGCTGAATTAGTTTGGTACAGTCTGGAAAGTACCAAAGTCAGTAGGAGAACAGGTCAAAGAGCAGTACCTCCCCTTATGACAATTGCTTAGGGTGCAACTTTGCATGTGTTTGCAAAGTAATTATCATGGGCTGCCCTTTTTTTTTTCCATATAGTATGTTATTGCAACCAAGTGATCACATGGTCACAACTTTTTACATGGGCTATAATGTATTATGTGCATATATGCACATATGTACATATTGAATGCCTGCCTATTTGGTGTTAAATAGGTCTAGGGCACAGCAATATACTAAGTATGTTTCTCTAAAATAAGGTATTAAGTGAAAATTGTAAGAACAGAAACATTGGATATCACATATGCTCAGTTACTTTGGCTGTAGTAGTTGCCTGAAAATGTAGAAGTGGGAGAGGAGCTAATCAGACTGACCCCAGGGGTATCCTATACTGTATGATGTCATGCTTGGCATATAAAACTGGGGAAGAAGGAGGAAGGGGGGAACATTTGGAGCTATGGTGTCTGTCTTCCCAAGTAACTGTTAGCATGGTGGAGCCCTGCTTTCCTGGAGGTGGCTGTGCTCCTGCCTGCAGTGGGAAGTGGTGAATGAATTCCTTGTGTTGCTTTGCTTGTGCACAGCTTTTGCTTTACCCATTAAACTGTCTTTATCTCAACCCTCCACTTCTCACTTTTACTCGTCTGATTCACTCCCCATCCAGTGACTGGCTGGATGCTTGGTTGGCAGCTGGGGTTAAACAATGACAATGACCCATGATAAATGGTGACTCTGTGGGCTCGTTAATCCTTGACACTACTAGCTTTCCTCAGATTGCCTGAAGAGGGAAGAGAAGCTAGGGCAGGAGCTAGTCAAACTACTGTAGAGCAAGCCATTTGCAGTCCTGAATCAGTTCCTGAATCTGGCTGATGCAAGAGAACTGCTATTTTTTTCTTCAGAGCAGTCTGTCTCATTACAGAAAACTCATATTTTGAGGGACTGATTCTGTAAGGTGCTGAGTTTCTGAGTAACTGCTTAGTGAATGTGCCTAACTCCCACCCAAAGCCAGTGGGAATTCAGGGTATTCATTTCATTCCAAATACCCTTTTTTTATTCTTAAAGATGGCTTGATAAAAAGAGCTTGTAAAACAGTGATTTCTTTTCTTTCTGTTCTGTGGATATAAGTGATAAGATATGCATGAAAAGGAAATGGATAACCATTTTCTGTTTTAAAAGTGGCTAGAAACAAACATCAATGTCAAAGGCAAGGACATATAAATCTTATTCGATTCAAATCTGGGTTTATGCCAAGTGTGTGTGGTTTTGCTAGTTTGAGAAATAAATGGTCTTCACTGATAATATATTCTTTCCTGTGTGGGTTCACAGAAAACTGATAAACTAAAGGTACAAAGTTTTATATTTACAGAGTCTTGCTTTTTGCTGTAGCTGCCTGTTTTTCTGGATTTAAGAGTACTAGCAGCTTATAAAGAGGGATTGGTTTTCATTGCCGTGGATTTACACAGATCCATCAAGAGCATAAACAAGGCCTCGTATCCATAGCAAAAGAGTCTGAAATGCTACATAAAGTTTCTAGTTGCAGTGGGCTAAAATACGGTTACATTATTTATTATGTTAAAATAGAGGCTTTTAATAAGTTACGCTCTCAAATAAAGACCAGAAGTCGATAGAGTAGTGCTTCTGATAGTTTGATGAAAAGCTCTGTGTTTTATGCTGCCATGCATTTAGTTCTTAATGCATCAAAGATGTTTGTGCTGGAAATGCGCAATTGTCAATGAGAAGCTGAAGCAGTGGGCAGATGGGGAAGTGGAATATGCACAAGAGCTGCATGTTCCCGACTCAGCAGTGCAGTAGCAAATAGTGCATGACAAGCTGTCTTTTAAGACTTCAGGCTTAATCCGTTCAGATCTCAGTCATTTGCTCCCCTTGGAGTATGGCTCCAGGACTTTGCAGGCTCAAGAAAACAGAACTGGAGCAGAGACAAACTGAGGTTTGGGGACTTTTGTCCCCTGAAAAAAATCTGCTTGATCTTTTCTGTTGTGGTTTTATTTGTTTGGTTGTTTGATTTTGGTTTTGGTTTGTTTTTTTGGTGGTTGCTTTGGTTTTGGTTTTTGTTTTTCAGGAAAATAACAAATCCATGCGGCAGAAGCCTAGTTGAGTTCCTTTAAGGCATAGAATCATAGAATAGTTAGGGTTAGAAAGGACCTTAAGATCATCTAGTTCCAACCCCCCTGCCATGGGCAGGGAAAGGTCCTTGCATGTTTCAGTTTCTCTCCTTAAGGAAGGCTTGTGTGCCAATTGATTTCAGCTCTTTTCTCATTAACAGACTACCCTTCAGTGAGTTTTAATCATAGTAATAAATGTATAGGCTAAAGGAGTCGCCATGGCTTCTAGATGACAGTGAAGGTTCTTTCCCATGTGTCTAGGTGAACATTTCTTCTGCTTCTGTATTGAAGGCAGGGAGATAAGAGCTAAATCACTGTGGTTGCTGCCTCACCCTTAGGGTCCAGCTGTTGATAAAATTACAGCCTGATATATGCAGGAGAACTCATGCTTGTGCTGGCATGAGAGAGGGAGCTGGGAGGGGCACAATAAGGCTCGTTATTTAGGGCTGTGCCAGTTTTGATTGCTCAGAGATAGCAATGTGACTTAAATAGTGGCCATATCCAACTGTAGAAGATGGAGTAAGAAACACACAGATCAGGAGGCAAACTCAGTAACTAGAGGCTGTCCCTGCTGTATGTTGAAAGGCCTGAGCTGGCAAAGTGTACTGAAGAAAATACTATTTAGAAGAGAAAGCTTTGGTTGTAGGTCTAAGTCTCTCTCAATATCAGCATTCATTTAACAGCTGTATTTTTGCCATCTTCATAGGGTTAAGCCAGTGAATTCTTTGACAGATATGTGAGTCTATAGGTCAGTGGGGAGGGAGTAGCATTTACTCTTTCTCGGCCAAAGTAATATGCTAAAAAATGAGAGAGCTTTTTTTAGTGTGAGCTATATGTACTGATGTTGAATCAGACTGCAAATGAAGCATGGGAAATGCACCCTGTGCAGCTAGGGACCTGGCACGTTTGGATATGCCAAGTAATGTGTTTGCCTTTCTCTCCCCAAATGATACATGTCCTGAGAATATCTCCAGTTGAGAGAGAATAGATGCTGAGGAGTGCTAACAAAAAGGATTGCAGTCATCTATGAACAGTTACACAAATGGATAAGGTATGTGTGTACTAAAGATGTCAAGTTAAGCTGCTAGATAAATGTTGAGAAACAATTAGCCATACCTGGAAAATCAAAACAAGCAGTTGTAGAGAATACTTAGCTTGTGCTCTTGCTCCTTAGTATTTTGATTTTCAGTTGTTTTAAATCTCCTATTGAAATTCCAGTTTATTTCTGCATCTAAATGCTCCAAGACCCCTGTGTGAGGCATTTCTAGTGTAGACATTTCTTTCCTACCCATGCTGAGGTAACTTTAGATGTGTTTTACTCTTCTTCTCCCCCTGCCGGCGATGTTGCATGACCAGTTGGGTACTGTAACATGATTTCAGGTACAGGCTTCTTTGAAAAAGCAGGTTAAAAAGATATTTTAATTGATTGATTAAAAAAAAAACCACAATTTAAACCCTTTAAGGTTTGACCGTAAATACTCTCTCCATTTCCAGTATGGAACAAAGCCTTGGGAACAAGCAATGGAACTCTTATGGGGGAAAGCAGAACCAGTTCATTTTCCCGCTGCCGGTTAGCCACTGTGTGCAAAGCAAATGCATAAATAGCCATATGCACAAATGCACAAACCCCCCAGATAGAAGAAACTAAGTGAATTCTTTTACTTTATGTATTTGAGTGGCAAAATATGCATTTTTCAGTTTACTTTTTTTTGCTGTCTTTGCTCAGTTGCGATGCAAATCCGTCCAAGCTGGGAAGTCAGCAGTGACATTGAGATGGATGTTAAGCTCTATTAACAAAGTTGTATTAAATAGAAGAAGTTCCCAAAAATGGGCAAAGTCCTTTCCTATTGAGAAACTACTGAGTTCTGGAGGGACTAGAAACTATGTTACTTCTCTCCCCACTTAAAAGCACTTCATGCTTTGCCTAGGAAGGTTGGACCAGATGATTCTGAGGTCCCTTCTAACCTGGGGTTCTGTGATTCAAACCCATGTCAGAATAGTTACCTGGGAGCATGCTCTGCTCACTTAATTTCCCTTTTGCTCATCTCTCTCTCTGCACAGGGCAGTATAGTCT